ACATGAATGAAGGCACGTATCATTGTAACTGCTCGATACAGATCCCATATCTTCCGTATCTTAATGACCACTGCGCTGTGGGTAAGTAGATATGGATAAAAAGTATTTCAATACCAAACGTGAGGAAAATCTTTGATAAGGAAAKAAGAATAAATAACTAGAAATATTATTGAACATTCCCCAGATCATTCTGCGATAGCAACAAGTGGGATGTTTCGCAACGTTTTCCACGTCGCAACCATTAAAACGCACTACARCATGAACTATTACGAAGCAGAACGAGCTTGTGCTATTTTCGGTGCTCAGATGTCAAGCTTGACGCAGTTGGATGATGCATGGAAAGCTGGTTTTGATTCCTGCAGGTGAAAAAAATATTATGAAAAGAATTTTACCTGCAAATACATCCATTCCATTAAAGTACTGCATTTTATTTCGTTATGCAGGTACGGTTGGCTGATAGATGGTACTGTAAGATTCCCCATTATATATCCAACCCCTAGATGCTCCTCATCTCCACCCAGTATTCGGGGAAGTACCACCCCGMAAGATAAATGGAACTCAAGGCATGATGTGTACTGTTACAGAGAAACAGGTAAGGGACAACAAYCTTTGAATATTTACGATATCATAGAGGATATTGGTAGCAAACTCATACCATGAAAATGAAGTTCAAATTAGATAAACTAATTGGTGTTATATACTTTTAATTCCGTTTGCTAAATTGCCCGGCTTTAGCCTCGTTTTTTAAATACAATATATGAATATATATATACAGACCTCTTTACCTCGGGCGTTTTTTCCCCCATTTCAGACCACTTGTCATTTGCAAGAGTATAATTTCTTTGTTTAACAGTTGTTACTTAACTAAGTCAAATTGAATATGGATACAACTTAAAMAAAGAATTCTCAAGACCATCCTGTCTTGTACACTAGACAATAATATAATATCATGTTATCATGGACATGGTATATCATTTTTACAAAACATGTTGYATTGCTTTCGTTGTTTCGTTGCTGACTTTCTCATAAACAGACTTTGTTATTTGACTCATACATTGTTGTTCTTGTCCCAGATAATTGCAATGATGGTAAAGACTGGCACCAAAATGGTCAAGCTTGTTACAAGTTTTTTCTTGACACCAAGGCTCGTCAGACGCCTGCTGCTCAGACATGCGCTCTCGAAGGTGGGATTCTCGGAGTGTTTAACTCAAAGGCTAAGCTAATCTTCCTCCAAGACTACCTGCGAAGAAGAAGCATCACAGACCAACAAGTTCTGGTGGGATTGAGTCAGGTAAGATCAGATCGAAAAAATGCTTCACAACAAACATATGAAAAAAAAGGGTTTTGTTAAAAATTAATCTTTGATTTTTCGGCGGAGGAATTCGAGAGGTGAAGAAAGTGAAAACAAAAAAACAAAACAAAAAACAAAAAAAGTTAAAATTCGTCGACATTGGGATTTCAATGATCATGACATTTTTCTTTAATGAATTCCTTTTCTCTAATGAATTCCTTTGTTATTTCGTACAGGATGCTGGTGGTGCGTGGAACTGGACGAACGGAGAAGCAGTTAAATCCTCTCTCTGGAATGTCACCCAGCCAACTGGACCAATAGGAACAGTCAATGCTGCCATGAAGGCTCTTGACAACGTGCCAGACAGTGACGAGTGGAAACTACCATTTGTCTGTCAGAAACCTGTCCTTTAATCTTGCACACACACGCAAAAACAAAGGTCCGCACAGTTGATCCAAGGATTTGAGTAGCCCATCTTTGAGCTAGTTCAGCGATCGAAAAATATCAGTATATATACATTAGTAATAGCCCGTGAACTACCACTTTAGTTTAAAGGCTCTTTTTGTTAAAGTAACAGAGTGCAAACAATAAAAATGAAAACTACGTTTAATTAGTGCGTTATTTTTAGTTCTATGAACTCGTGAAATGGCGGAGACCTTTTCTGTAATATCAAATTCTTTGCCATGGTTTCAAACCACCCATTGCTTTACGTCATTCTCACTTTACAAACCAGCAGGAGTCTTTAGCTACTTTTCGACTGAAATTGTGACGGTCRCACATAAACAGGACAAAATATGAGCTATTTTAGCGGGAATTCGGGCAATTTTACACCAACGGTAAATTGAATTAAATATTAACCTCCGCATACATTTATATAAAGTAATATCTAATAAACGCGTTGGTAAAATTGAAGGCAATTTAATGAACCAATCACCGTTGCATCAGTTTTCTCAGTGGAATTGAAATCTTGTCCAACAAACAACTACTAATTATCTTCTGTAMAGGKTACTACAAGGAWTACGAGGCAATTTTCAATTCTTTTCGCAGGACCGCTGAGTAAATGATTGAACAACTATAATCAATTRTCCTCCAGAGTTGAATATTTAAATAGATGTCGCCCATAATGATATAAACATATAGGTAGGAGTGTTCGGTATGGCAAATTTCTCCTAATTCTTTAGTTTTTACGTCGTTTGTGCGTGCGTCGGTTTAAAGGATTTCATGAATTCATTTTGGATCTGGAACTACTCTAAATTCTCTCACGGTTCAGTCTATCTTTTGACCCAAAATATCAAAAAGTATGTTAAGCGGAAAAATGTTTGGCTACAATACAATTGTGCATGGGTTTGTTTTATAGGTCTTAATAACAATCGCCCTTATTTAATTCATACTTTAATTGGTACTTTTTTCGGCGTTAATTTGACTCTCGATGAGTCAAAAGTGAGTCGTCGGAAGAGAGCTCTCGAGGAAGGAAGGACGGTTCTGGAAATCTACTAGTTATTTATRACGAAAATCTACAAGATGCTAAGATAATCTTGAATTCCAGAGTAATGATAAACAGCCGCATTATATCAACAACATGTCAACATATTGTGGAAGCTTTTGAAGAAGTTTTTGTACAYCGGTCACTAATTAAGAGTAAATGTCCTAAAATGTATGGGAGAAAGTGCGAAATACTTGTGCTTTAGCTATAACATTACTAACTCGTGTGTGTTTTTACTTGTCGATTTTTGCATTTTTCAAGGACACTCGAAATCCAAATATTTTCTTTTCTTTTCTTCGTTATTATTATATGGCAGCGCTCCTGTTGTGTATTTGTTAAGATGCACCTGTGCCATATAGTTCCCTAGAACATTATCTCATCAAATTCTCTATGCATCACCCGTGAAATAAAAAATACTAGTGAACGTGTAAAAGTCGAGTCAAATAGATACAAAAGAAAACAATGGAATTAGGGTCTACTTAAGGGTATTAGTCTAATATCTCTTCCACTGGTTTTCATGGAATATTTAAGGTATATCCCACTGTTCGCCTTTATTACGTGGTTGTTTACTACATCGAATGGTTGCTTTCTTAAGGGACATTCTAAATGCAAGCATTTTAATCGTTCCTTTTCCTTTGCAGCTCCCCTGTTGTGTATTTGTTAGATTTGAAGACAAAAATCCTTTTTTTCCCTTCAAGACAATAAAGAAGTCGGTTTGATGAGATCATGTGAGTTGAAATGATAGTGGTTAACGTTAGTTTGAGCTACAATTCACAACTGCTCTCTGCCTSAGATTTTCGTCATGTTCTTGCCATCACATGATAAATATCATAYATCACGTGTGTTTATATATGAATTTACTTCTAAAGTGTTAATAGTGTATGAATGAATAAAGTCTAAGGACTTTAAAGTGGATACTACCACTATATACCACCACCTTGCCGTGTGCGTTTATACACCTATTTCAGAAATCGTTGTCGCAGAGAACGCCGRTACTTTTAGCTGTAATTAGTTAATCATGGTGCATTTTCATTTATTGACTTCATAAATTGCTCCAAGCAAGGCTGCTTGAGATGATAATTAGTGGAGAGCTATAGCCACTTGCATGAACCATGATAAATCAATTATAAAGTACCGACGTTCTCTGAAGTCTTGGCTTGTTACTTGAGGCTCTTGGTGCGATAACGATTTTCGAAATAGGTGTATATTAATATACACTTATTTCAATAAAGTTAGTCACCTGAAAAGCTATAAAGCTGAGGCCGACAAGGATCATGGGTAGATTCATTTTACACGTTCAACCGCTTGATAACTATTCATGGACTTGCGAATCTTTTGACGGTTACAGTCTCACCTCTTCTGAGCATCATCGAGCTGCAGTTTGTATTAAAAAAGCTTTGTATATATATGCTTCCTTGATATGAAAAGTTTCCTATGATGCTCAGTGATCTCAGCTTTCTAGGTTTTTGTTGACTAACTTTATTGAAATAAGTGTATATCTAAAATGGTAAATTTAGTGTATGAATGTATAAAGTCTAAAGAGCTTAAAGTGCTTCAAAARGATGAAAAGTGCGCTACTGTTCTAGTAAGAACCATCCATTTTCAGTTTGCTATCATTGTTGTTAACCATGGTCAATATTGGGTCCTAAGTATTTGCAGATATTCATTCCTTTAATAAGTGGCAATACAATAAACAAGTTCGCGATTTTGTATTGATTGGGTAAGGAATTAGTTCATTAATATTTTATTGTGTTTAGAAGAACACTAGTGCTTGTAGTTRCCGATGTCAAACGACGGTACTCAATGAACTTGATACTTGTAAACTTGATTGACTTTCGGAAAAGTGAAAAAATCCAACATTTCGCAAGTGTAAATATGAAGTATAAGTTTATTACATAATCACAGCAGAAGAATTTGAGTAATGGAAAAAAGAAAGTGGACTAGTGGACTATTTGGGTTTGTTTTGAGTACCATCATCTTGCTATCAGTGAATGCTGAATTCAAAGCAGTATCCAGGGACCAGCTTGGATTCAAGTTCATGAACTTCTTCCACAAACCTGGTACAGTTCTCACCGA